AACAGAATACTTAATTATTATCTTTATAAAATGTTATATTATTAAACTAAAAATAAATTATTTCATTATTAAACTTAAATTGAATTATAATAAAAATAAATTAAAGAAATTACATAAAAATAAGAAGTTTTAGATAGTTGATTTGATACTAACATTGATATATATATTTTTTCAAATTTATATTTTATTAAAAACCTAAAATCATTATTGCTTTCTTAAAAACGCATAAAATCGTATTATAATATCGATAGAGACAAAGAATAAAATAAAACATTAAAATCGATATATATCTTGCTGCATTGCACGAGTATCCTTCTAGTATGTGTGTGTGTATATATATATATATAGAGGAGTTTTAAACTAATACGACAAAGTCTAAATAAAAAAGATAAAAAAGTTGAGAACGTAAGAATAAATTTTTTAAATATTAATCGTTACAAAACCCTTAAAAAACCATTTAAAGACGCATATGTGAATCCTCGTTGCTTTACCTACCTTGTTATCAATTATTCTCTTATGAAGATCCATATTTCACTACAATTCTGAATGCTATCACCAACGGAAGAGATCCATCGGTAAAAAGTGAAATCCGTTGGATAAACGTTCGTGGGTAAATGCATCACCGACAACAATCACCGATTGATCACCAACGTACAACTTCACCTACGGACAATATTCACCGATGGATTACTGAGGGGCCTAATCACCGTTGGATTTCCGAGGAATAATCACCAAGATATCCTAGGGATTCTTACGTGGTTAGCACTTACCAATAATTCATTTTAATGATCCAGAATATATCCAATAAGATAATTAAGTGAAGATGATGACTCTTACCAATAAGCACTTATATTTGTTAAGCATTTTATAAACGGCCGGAAATTGGACCATGTTCCACATCAGAACTTACGTACATTATTTGAAGTTGCACGTTTAATTTCCATTGTTCGTAAATGTCTCGACATATTGTTTAATGACTCGGTATATCTACGTGGTTATACCAAATACCATCGCGATTGATGTCTTTATTTGCAAAACACAACATACAATATTACAACTGAAAACACATGACAATGTAACAAAATCACAAACCAACAACCAAATCATCATGGACGAGCCGAGACCGGAGTGCTATCGCTACCGCTGCCTCCGGTGCTCGGGACCTCAAATCCAGAGTTTGGAGCCAATGTGTCATCACCACCCGGAAAACCAACCCCACCGAAAGTAGGGATGTCTGCGACTCCGTTGTTGTTGTTGTTGTTGCCGGTAATAGGATTGTAGGTGAAGGGGTTGAACCCGTGCTTGGACTTCGGTTTAATCCCTCGTCCAAGACCTGGGATCAGGTATCCACGGTCGTGAGAGAAGAACATATTCGGGTGTTTGATGTCTTCGGGTTTGTTGTTGGACGGAATGTCTCGGCCTGCCATTGCCATCGAGATCAAGAGGTTGACGACGAGAAGAAGAAMGAAGATCGAACGAATCGTTTTAGCCATTTGTAGACAATTAATCTTCTAAGTTGTGAAGTGAAAATTGTGAGGTGTTGTGATTGATGAAAATGGCAAGAACAAGATGTGTTCTTATTTATAGCAACTTTAGGTTACAACTCATACTAGGTTGCTCCTTTTCCTTGTTAGAACTGGGATCATATGAGACAAGACTGTTTTCGTGAGACATGATTTTTACACTTGAAACTTCACAGCAAAACACTGTAAAGGTAACCTTCATAGTGTTTTTGCTATGTAGATTCGACTTTTTTTTATCTTCACAACATTTTGTTTCATAGTTTTTTTACATTTAATGCTAGAATTTAATGTATTAATTAACTTATATTTATTTCATAATGTGTTTGTTTAACATGTATTCAGTTCACAGTGTTAAAACCTTTTTAGTTGTATTTGATATTTTACAAACACATAAAAAAAATATTAACATTATAAAACAAATATATGTGAAATAAAATGTCGGTTTGGGCGGCCAATTAAGTTTACATGCCGAAGTTATGTCCTGATGCCCCACCGTCTTGCATTTCTTCTTGTATATTCATTTTCCTTTATTACCATCCATTTGATTTTTTTTAAAAAGTCGAACCTTTACAGCAAAAATATTGTGAATGTTGTCTTCACAACGTTTTACTGTGAAGTTTCAAGTATAAAAAAGTGATCTTATTGATATCAAGAAAACAGACTGGTCTCACGTGATCCCAAATCTATTTATAAAATAAAGAAAAATACAATTAACCGTCAACTTTCATATCTCCTTATTTTATATTGATTTTTACATGTTAATTAAATCAAACATTGTTGATTCGAAAACTAACTTTGATTATGTTATGACCAGTGATCCCGTACAACACGGGGAGATGTCACGTCGTTTGTCCTTTAGCAGAGGTATAGTATATTTCTGATATAATGTTAAAAATTTCAATTGACAGAAAATTTAATGATCAGTGTTAATTATTTTATTAAGTATTTCATTATAGATAATACTGATCATTGGCGGATCTAGTGTATAAAGAGGGCGGGAAGGAAATGACCTCAGTCAAAAAGTTAATTTTTTTTTACCTAGGTTAATTTTTTTTTTACAGAACTTACCTTCACTCCTCCCAGTAGAATTTTTCAGGGGATCAAGTCTATGAAATTCCTGGATCGAACACTGATACAACAATCTAAACGCTTACATGGATAAGAGTCGTCATCTTCACTTACCGGACACTTGTCATATTCATCCAATGAGGAAATTTATCTTGTAAGTATTTATTAAGTAAGCGTTTAATAAACGACCCCTTAGTTAAATTAATTGAAAAAGAAATGTATTACTACACTAAATGAAAATTAAGCAAGCTTATTTTCATTTATAACATAAAGATCACTACTTTTTTTTTTATTAACCTGGATATCCAATCCGCTATGCGAGCCGACTAATCCCAAGACGACCACCTGCTTTACTGATAGCGCGGAGTCATCGCATTTGAACCTCCGTGACCATAAAGGAATTTTTATTCCTCCTTGAATTTAAACATGAGACCTCCTAATACTTTTGACTTTTGAAGCCAAAATCATGACATGCTTCAAGCTTTGTTACCTAATAAGGACAAGGTGTCCATATCAAAGATCCATGAGGTTGGTGCCAAATTCATTGATATCATTCAATGTAAACCTAAATGACTAATTCTATGAACAAGTTTGTGCAACTTTTCTTATTAAACTCCAAAGAATATATACAAACATCACATGTTAAAATCTGTAAACCAGTTATATTCATCTTCAACAGATTTTCCAATACAGATTTCAATATTCACGAACTTTTACATATCTCCAGTTACTTTCACATATATTAATTTATTAAAGTTCCAGTCATAGTAATAGAAATAAGTAAATAAAGGTAGTTGAAAATAATCGAAAACAGATAAACATTTGTTCTCACGTTCTCACCAAAAAATTCATTTTCATGGGTATCGTTTCGTACAACAAATGAGAATAAACCATAACGGTAAAAGTACATATAAGAAACCTATATAGTTCACATTCGTGATCGGGAGGCACATTAATTAATACTTTTAATAGTACTGGAAGAAGTAGTAGGACATGCCAATATAAATTCATGTATGAATGTAAACAATTCAATGGCCGTTGTAACTGATAGAGTTGGATTCATACGAGAATGCTACCTAAATAAGAAACGGGCGAATCACATGTGATTTTACACTAACATTACATTGTGATTCACGCAACTTTTGGCCACGACATGAAGTCACAGGCCAAGTCGCTTGCTCACCCATTTTACAGTATAAAATCACACTTTTTTAGGTATCATTCTCGTATGAATCTGTATTATTACTGACAAATATATAAATGATATGATGGGTTAAAGTTAAAGTTAAAGGCAGTGATTTTGTTGGGAGTACTAAGATTTTGTGTGTCAGTGCATGGAGAAACCTTTCCTTCCCAAATCAATCATGACCAAGTAAATGCAGCCTCCAATGGTTTGGTGGATCCAGTTACCATTTGCCATAAAAACCTGCAACTACCAACATTATTTCATTCATTCAGCCACCTATACATATATATATATATATATATATTATGAACCGGATATCTAACCCGCTATGCGAGCCGACTAATCCCAGTTAGACCACCACTTGCTTTGCGGGTAGTCCGAAGTCACCACATTTGAACTTTCGTGGCTACAAGAGAACTTTTACTCCTCTCTCTCCAGGCATTTTTGACCCTTGGAGCCCAAACTCAAACCAATGAGAAATCATCCTTGTGATTATTAAGTATTACAAGATCAACATGTTGTTGGTAAAAATGAGTATAGAATACGAAATGCTGAAATTTTGTTACATTGATTAAGGAGTTGTTTGTTTACCTCTTAATAGTTCCATTAAGAGACAACCTCTAATAAGAGGTGAAACTTGTTTGACAAAAAAAAAATATGTCTCTTAATGGTTCTAAAACCCTCTGAACGAGTTTGTATCATGAGTCTCCCATAACCATTCAGCGCCCTAATTTCGTTGTAAATAATTACCAAACAATTATATTTTATTTTGCACTATATCATGAGAGTTTTTTAATCATTCTGACCACTTAATTGTTCTGCACCAAACCATTCAACATCTGCCAAACAGCCCCTAAAAAAATTGTATTTTTCATACGTTTTGTCCTTGTTTAGACTTTAGACCATAAGAGTTTGACTGCAACAAAATAGGAGGTGTAGTTATTCTTATAGAAATGGTTAAGGAGATTTTTAAATTTTCTGAATTAAATTAAACCGTACATTCTACACAAATGTGTTACAATAAGTTGTTGAATGAATTTGGACAACTTAACAAGTTATATCCTTATGATTTATATGTATGTATGCATATGTGTGTGTGTGATTTATATGAGTATATATGTGTGTTACAATAAGTTGTGTACGTTTTACAGAAATCGGGTTTATTTATGTATGTACGCATGCATGCATGCATCCATCTGATTTATATGAACATCATTCGTTTTTCTATGTAATTGGATCCCAATTTCTTGTTTCGGTAACATGTTGTTAAACCGATAAAATACGACTATATGTAGATTGTTGGATTAATATTACACAAACTTGGTGTCGTAGCTCAAAATAGCTAGACAAACCCGAGTAATTTCCCAAGATCTTTCATTCCAAAGTATTTATCGTCAAGAAGAGGCTTTTATACATCGATACAGTATTATTTAAGCAATCGTCAGTCTATTCATTCTTTTACGAGATATATAACACAAAATTAATGATAACAAATAAAATACATTTTTAATATTGTTGAGAGGTAAACTGAAGGTTTACGAGGACAAGAGAACGAGGCCTAGCTAGTATATCTTACAAGCATGAATTAATGTAGAATTAATTATCCGACATGTGTTGTTTGGGTCGTCTGTACAGAGGGAAGGTTGGATACTTGCATAGGTCCAAAAAGAAACGGGGTCCAAGTTTATTTATTTATTTATAGCGTAGATGAAAAATGTGCAAAATATTTCGTTGTATGGATCGATGGCCCAAAAATCAAAGGAGGAGCCCAAATCAATTTAGTAAACAATAATGACTAAAAAATATTAATTGCGGGAATTTGATATGGAGATCATTGATAAGAAGGGAACGGAAAACCTCGTGGCAGATTACATTTCATGTCCAGAAAGAACTGAGCAAGGTCAAAGACCTTCCAGCCTAGTGGTAAAGGCTTGGGCATGACATAGTCATGAACCTAAGTTTGAGCCCTGGGAGGGGAGTGTTGGCGACATTTAAGTGGGGCCATGTTTAGCCTCCAAATTCGTCGGGGATTAGTTGGGCTTTGGCCCGGACACCCTTACAAAAAAAAAAAAAAGAACTGAGCAAGACGATATTACTCCAATCATTGAGTTCTTTCCGGATGACTGATTTTATGCAATAAGGGTATTCGACCCTTGTTGTGACGATGTGGTGAACTATTTCGCGAGTGGCAAGCCCCTCATGGCCTAGGCTCACATCAGAGGTTTACCGATTTCTAGTACTATTTTTTGGAGGAGTCGTGTTTATACAATCATTATGGAGACGACATGAATAGACGTTGCATGCCAAATGAAGGGAAATCAAACATACTGAATCACTGAGACTTTCTCGAGTGGCGGGGTTACTTCAGCACTGATTACACCGCGTCAGATATCTCAATTTATCCGGTTATGATAAATGTGATGTTACTAAATTACCCTTCTTGAACATATCTTTAAAATTGTAATCATAGTTTTGTTTGCATACAAGACATGGAGGGAAAAAGAATGAAGCAAAGAAGAGACAAGTTATCAACACATGATATATATGTATACATTCATGGATCCATTTCTTCCATAGCTTTTGTTAAAGAAGCACGAACTCCACTTCTGCAATGGCTTCCGCTTGCTTGGAGGTGGCATCTTTAGCTTTATTCGAACGGTTGTACTTCATGTGACTCTTCACAAGCTGGCCTGCAGCAATGGCGGACATTAAAGACAACTCACCTGCCAAAACAGCACCTGCCACCACCTTCGCCAACTGCCTTGCATTTGACCCTGGTGATTCTTGGTTCGCACCCTTTACACCAAGCAGGTTCAGACACGCTGATTGTGATGCCAACTGGGTGCCACCACCCACGGTCCCAACCTCGATCGATGGCATGGTTACAGATACATGAAGGTCCTTTCCATTGTTTACTGTTTCCATCATGGTGATACAATGAGAACTCTCGATATTTTGAGCTGGGTCTTGGCCGGTTGCAATGTACACGGCGGTGACTATGTTACTTGCATGGGCGTTGTACCCACCAAGAACACCAGCCATGGCGGATCCAGTAAGGTTCTTGAGCGTGTTCAACTCAACCAAAGAAGCTGCATCTGTTTTCAGAACCTTCTTCACCACCTCCTCTTTTATGATGGCTTCACATACCACCGATTTGCCTCTCCCTTCGACCCAGTTCACGGCCGCCGGTTTCTTGTCGGAACAATAATTCCCGGAGATGCCAATCACGTCCATATCCGAGAAATCTGACCGGAGATAATCTAGAACATTTTGAACTCCTTTGGAAACCATGTTCATCCCCATGGCATCACCGGTGCTGCAATTGAACCTGATGTAAAGATTCTTCCCGGCGATGGCACATGTGATTCTCTGTAACCGACCAAAACGGCTTGATTTGTTAAACTCAGAAGCCAAAGTTTGGAAGTTGAGGGGTTCCTCCAAGAAGAATTTCAATTCTGCAGCTCTTTTCGCGGTGGCAAACCTCACCACCGGAGCTCTAGTCATGCCATCTTTGAGAAGCACACTGGTGGCACCACCACAGGCATAAATGGCCTTACAACCCCTATTGGTGCTGGCCACCAAACATCCTTCAGTGGTGGCCATTGGCACCGTGAATTCCATCCCGTCGAGCAACAATGGACCTGCAACACCCACTGGTATCTGGACGTAACCAACTGGCATCTCACAACACTGTCCCAATATGGAATCGTAATCGAAGCCGTCTAAGGGAAGACCTTGTAGGGATTTTCCGGTGATTCTCTCTAAAGCTTGTCTCCTGATGAAGGCTGCACGTTTGCAGTCGTGAAGCTTCGATTCCAGGGAATATGACGGTGTTTCCCCATCAACCACCGACCTTATCACCTCCTCGTCTTCCTCCATCACCGGAGAATTGACGGTGTCTTCCATATGAATAATATCTGAAAGTGGTTTGGTTTCTTCCTCTTCTTCTTCGTCTTCTTCATATGAAAATGAAAATCTTGGGAAGAGGAAAGGTTGGATGCCAAAGAATCCAAGGAGATAGACGAAGGAGGACACAAAGGAGAGAATGGCTGCCATCTCGGAGAAGGTAACGACATGGAGGGGAGTGGAGTGGCGGATCTTTTCACGCCACCGGAGGAGGAGGAAATGGACAACGGAGAAGAAGAGGGTGAAGAAGATGATGGCATTAGTGAGGTATAGAACGAGAGGTAGAGCAGAAGAATAATCAAGCAAGTCCTCCTTCTTCCGGTGTGTCACACCCATGGCGGTTGATGATGATGATGATCGTCGTCGGACGTCCATTTTTTATTATTCCGGCGACGATTCGTGTTTGTGCGGTGATGGAAGGAAATGCGTATAGAATAGCCTTGCCTTATTTATAGGGAAACTCAGTCAAAAGTATTGAAAGACACCATTGATGTGTCTCCTAATCTTGGCAAAGATTAGACCACGTTATCTTGCCATTTATTTCGACTTCAAACATTGTCGACAAAATTAAGAATATTTTATTATTAAATTTATAAAAATAACCCTTTTCTTAGGAATATATTTCAAGAAACACATTTTATACACATATCCATATGAGACTTGCAAGAAACCTTGGAAATTGATAAAAGAGTAGGAGGGTTTTAAGAGATAAATCAGGTCTGTAAATTTGATGGGTTTATCTTTTTTCCTCCTATTTCTTGTTTGAAGATTGTGAGATTTAATTTATGCATCTTGCCATAGCTTTTAATGTGAAGCACACCAACTGTTTGTCATAATGCCTCTTCCAGACTACCATGTATGCTTAGCATCGAAACCCTAACTTTTTTGTCATTCTAAAACCCCATTTTATTTGGGATTATTATGCTTTACTTGAAGATTCATCCTGTCTCATTGACAGTTGTTGCAGTAACCCAAATAGCATTTCATGGTCTCTATCATCTGAAAGAAACATCATGTTGTATTTCAGTGTAAATTTGAAGATGGGTATGGCAATGAGGAGTATGAGTTGTGGTGGATATGGAACTGTTTCTATACAAACAAGAATGTCTTGTTGTGATAGTTTTATAGAATTCTCAAATACCCCATCACTTGAAATTGGAAACAAGTGCAGAGGGAGTTCAATGAGAATAACAATGAGAGACACAGGCAAGAACAGAAAACCCTTGCAGAAAGGTCGAAATCTAAGCATAGAGGCCATCCAAACAATTCAAGCACTGAAACGAGCACCTAAATTATCTGCTCCTATCAGCAATTGACGTTCACAGAAACAACCGCTCTACTTTTGTTGTAGAGGTCTGGTTTGATCTACTTTCGAGTGGGATTTACTGTGTTTATTGGGTTTGGTTTTAGCCACTCTACTCTTTGGGGTAGGATAGGGGCATGTCTGTGTATATCTTACCCCCCTCACCCACAACCCCCGTGGCATATTCTAGATTCGTTTGGTTTTTATCAAGTAAATGGCTCTTAATGACATATCTTTACATGATTCATGTTTAATCGTAATTTAAAATCATGGAACATTGACTATTATTGATGTAGGTTTTTGCAGAGATTCAAAAGGAACAATGGTATAAACCGGAGGTATCATTATACACTGAAATAATCTTGGTTTTGGCTATGAACAGCTTGTATGATAAGGTTGATATGATTTTTGTTGAATTGAAAAATGAAAAAGGGAAAATTAGAGGGTAAGACAGAAGGGTTTAATGCGTTGTTGGAAAATTTGACGAGTTACAACATGACTGAGCTTGCCATGGATTGCTTCGAGTTGATGAAAGAGATTGATTGTGAGCCTGATAGATTAATTACCAGCAACCTCAACCGACCCCACATGTGAAGAGACATTTCAGAGCTGACTCAACGATTAAGGCTTAACAGAGAGGTTTAAACCCGTCCTCCATGGACTCAAACTTGAACATGTTTATGTTACAAGAGTAGCGTGTTAAAAAAACGTACAAAATAAATAAATAATTAATTAAAATTTTGTTAATTGCAATTTTTGTAAATTATGGAAATGAGTAGAAGTTGGGGGGGTTAATTGTAACAAATGGAATGGTTCTTTTGTGTTTGGCTTATTGAGCATTTCTTGGCTCCTGCGATTCCAATTCCAAACTTGTGGCGTATGCCAATGAATCTTCAAAGCGTCGTCACCGGAACTTGTTGATTTTCAACCAATTCTTGAATTCAATCAACATGGATTGTCTTCTTCTTCTTCGAATTTTTCACCGGCGGTCGTAAGAATCGAGTATTCAGCCGGAGATTTGTAGATAAGAGAAGATGTCGTTAAGGATAAAGACGGTGGTGGATAAGTTTGTAGAGGAATTGAAGGAAGCCTTAGATGCGGACATACAAGACAGAATCATGAAGGAAAGAGAGATGCAGAGTTACATTGAAGAGCGTGAACGGGAAGTCGCCGAACGCGAAGCAGCTTGGAAAGCCGAACTCTCTCGTCGCGAGGTACACTTTCCTTCTCCAGTTATCCATCATGATTTCCCTCTTTCAGTTTAAGATTTTATCAGGTAATTGTGTAAACCCTAGTAATATTTTGCGATGAGTGTATTTGTTATTAATTTTGGTAATATTGAAATTGTTGAAGAAATAAATGAAACCATCCATTTCCTTACCACCAAGATACTTGATAGATTACTCTTTCCGATATGTGAAAGGATTCAGAAGATGATATATGTGTAAAACTTAGGTCTGATACATTTGAAGAACAGAAAAGGGTTTAGGCCCTGTTTGTTAGCAGCTTAATTGGACTCACAGCTTATTGGGTCAGTTATATTGAAAGTGGTTTATTTCAGTAAGCTTATAAGGGAGCTTTATGCAAAAAGCCAGATTTTTTTCCAAACTTGTCCCTCTCAATTAAAAAACAAGCACATTTCATTTATGAAAAACCTTCCCAAACAAAAACCTTTCCAATCCACACAGACAGATTAATGCACACAGACATCTTTACTGGAAAACCAACCAAACAACCCCTCAGTTTACTTGAGAGAGAGCAGGTTTATTTCGTTGTTCTGAATTCCATTCGTTTATATCTGTCCATTCCCTTTGGTTTCCTTGGTGCCAAAAAGGAGCAGTATTTGCATGATGTGATATGGAGGTCAAGAAACTATATGGAGAAGGAAAATACTTCTAAGTTTCTCGTTTGTGTGTGGGAGATAGAATTGGAGGAAGACGGTTGGGCTGTAGAGTTAATCTGTGGGTCTAAATGTTCAATGTTATTGTTGGCTCTACGGTAACTTTTAGGAATGATTGGTTCATCCTTACCACCTTCATTTCGATATGCTTGTCTTCTTTCAAGGAAATGCACAAGATGTGTGATAGATGTTATCAGATATGTAGCAACACACCATGGGGTCCCTGTCTTCTGTGTAAAATCATAAAACAAACAAATAAACTACAAAATTTGAACGATATACCGAGAAAAACAAAGAATTGTCCCTTTTCGATGATAATCACAAATTGAATGTTGATAAACAGATGGAGGTCTGCAGTGTTCCTTTGACCATTAAATATATACCATGCTTCTCTCTAAAGCCAATGCAAACTGAATTACTTGGGCTCTTCTCCATTTTGTTAACAAGTGTGATTTTAGGTTTATAAACCCACAAAAGTTTCTAAGCTCTTCAGAAGAACTTTTTCTTTCTTTTGATTAAACTGGATATCCAACCCGCTATGCGAGGCAACTAATCCCAGGGCGACCACCTGCTTTGCAGATAGCCTAGAGTCACCGCATTTGAACCTCCATGGCCACAAGGGGATTTTTGTTCTTCCTTGGATTTGAACCTGGGACCTCCAAGTACTTTTGACCTTTGGAGCCAAGCTCAAACCAACCAGGCACCACCCTTCTTCCCATGTGGGACTAGAACACTACAATTTCACAAAGCAGGACCGTTCTCAATTTATAACAAAAAGATTGTTACCGCCTAGGAAAACATGTTATTATCACCTATTCTTTAAATTGTTTTCATTTTTGTGGGGGAGTAAAATATGTGAATGGGTTGATGCAAAATGCTTATTCTGTTATGTTGGAAAGTAGGATATGTAGAGATGATTAATGGATCAGATGTTTGGTTGACAGGCAGAAATTGCTAGACAAGAAGCAAGATTGAAGATGGAAAGAGAGAACCTTGAGAAAGAGAAGAGTGTGTTGATGGGTACAGCATCAAATCAAGATAATCAAGATGGTGCTCTTGAAATTACAGTAAGTGGTGAGAAGTATCGATGCCTCCGGTTCTCCAAGGCCAAAAAATGAACATCAAATCTAATCTTGTGCTAATTGGATCCTAATACTTGCATTGGAATGGAGGTCATTTTATTTCATTCTTAATTTCTTCATTGTAAAAACAGTCATCTTTCAGTGTAGTTATCATTTATCTTTAATTTCATCAAACATTTGGTTTACCAAAATCCTACTGTTTCTGTTGAACTTTGTTTCGAATTCCATTATCTAATTTATTGATTACAAAATGATATGAATGTGGTCATTAGCTGCTGCTTTTTTGTTCATGAAAATTTAAACTTGGTGAACTTCAGAGTCTTGCACCCAATTAGGATATTAGTGCTATCCTTAGCACTTTCTGTCCAAAATGATTGTTTAGACTCGAACCTTGGTGCACCAGGTTGGTGTCGATTGCGGAAACAAGATGTAACGAGTGAACCCGTGATGGTCTGAGACTTGGATCATGTTAAATAAGAGTTTTGATGAAAACAGCGAGGATCATTTTCAACTTTTGGATGAGTTGATGTTTTAATCTATTAACGGCTAAGAAAATGCGGACCTTCAACTACCTTCAATTTATAAATTTCACCTTTATCTTCATTTTCAATCATCTTCACGAACTTTTAGATCATCTCTAACAGATTCTCCAAAATAACTCTGGTATGGAATATCAAAATTTCTAAAAAAATTACATTCAATTCCAACAGCTCCTTCGATTTATAGATTCCAACATTAATTATATTATTAAAAACATTCTAAGTGACAATAATATAACTAATCCTGTAGTCTAATAAAAACATCTCCTCCCAACTGTGTATACCATTTTCCCAGCCTTAATTCTTAACATCAAACAAACCCATAATAATAACTACAATTCTGTTGTTGATAATTTTACAAACTTCAACCACTTGCTTTTCTGTGATCATCTTCCTCGACTCGTTTCGATCAAGAATCACATCACCATCTTCGACCATATTGCCAAGTAACGAGAAATGTATAGTATACCGAAACCTCTACTCCTTCAAGGCATAACATTGAGGAGCCAGCTCAGCTAACCACAAATAATCAATTCTAGTAACATTGCGCACATAATTCCGTGTAGTTTGAACTAGATTGTAGAAAATTATGCACTCTGACTTTGTACGCCGTAGAACTGAAGTTGGGTGAATCTCAGCAATCTGACCATTCGCCAAAACCCTGCAATCATCAACTGCCATTAATTAATTATCTTATAGTGTTTCCTTTTTTTCGCAATTTTGGACTATATTTGTCTATTGTGATGTTACTAACTATTGATTTCATTATATAAGATGCCCATGATTTTGTCCTTTGGTTTCTGCAATTTTCACTTCTTACAAAGATGTAAAGTTTGATATAACATGGTTAATGAACTCTTCACCTGTATGTACCATCAGGTTGCTTTAGCGCTGCATTGAGGAAATAAGAAGCAGCAAGGCATCTGCGGAGCTGAAACGTATCATCTCCACATGAAGCAATCTTAAGTCCCATTCGTTCAACATTTTCCCGAATTTGACTGCAACAAACCACCAAATATCGTTATAAACTCATGAAGGAACAAAAAATAGGGAAAGCAAGAAGAGAAGTCACATTTATAGGGATGACTGCGTCAAATTGACAATAATGTCATCAAACAGTACCAACTGCTGAATGATTATGAATGATTATAGGTGAGGAGGGTGTGTGAGTTTATTTGTTGCCTTTGCCGTATATAAATATTATATACTTCAAAAAAAATGTGATTCCCTTCTGTTTGATTATTAGAGGGTAGAGATGAAAATTAACAAACTTGTAAATGTCACGAGCGTGCTTTAAGGAACGACTATTAATGAAGTTGTCCTTGCACCATTTCCTCAAATTCTTCTCAGCCTTTTCTTTACCATTCTCTGTCTTGTTCTTCTCCAAAAACTCAAGAGAAGCACGATAGACGTTAAGCAAAGTGAGATGGTCTCCCTCTGGGCTTGAGAAGGATTTAATGACGGTCCTTGACTGGCAAAAAGAAAAAAAAAAGACAGATGAACTTTTTAACTTAATATAAATCCAATAAAAAGGAAGTAGCACCATGTCAAATGAATTTGAGATTCAACTTTGACCATCCTCTGCTGTTAAATCTATTACAGCATTCAAGTCCAAAACATACGTCCTTATCTGGTAATTAGCCGACCTCTAGAAATCTAGAATTTTATAGTCTTCAAAATGTTGAACTACTACCATGAAACAGCAAATTAGAAAGTAGGAAGGTGGCACATACCTCTTCTAACTTCTCACGAGGAGCATAAAAGATGGATTCCACTGATAGCATTGCAACAACTATTAACATTTCTTCCAAGCAATCGAACTGACTGGCTAAGATAAGAGCCTTTGAATCATTTGGTTCTAATGGAAGACGAGCCATTTGGTGCCCAATTGGATCTGACAATTTCTTTTCGTCTGTCAAAGCCCCTAGCAAGTACAACAATTCCAGTGATCTGATGACAGCCATCCTGCACTCATGAATAATAACAAGTTGGTTACAGATATCTTCCAAAGATGAAATTAAAAGCTTTGCAAGTAATTGTAAGATGATAGAGAATAGAGAAATAAATAAATAGATCTACTGTTCTAATCACCTATCAGGTTTCTCCATGAAGTCAAACCCAATAATATCATCAACACCAAGAGCACTAAGCTGCAAAATAACATTTGAAAGGTTGCATCTTTTGATCTCAGGCACTGTGGAATCGTCAAGTCCCTCGAACCTGCTTTCTGGATAAAGACGATAACATTTTCCAGGTCCTTCACGCCCAGCACGTCCACTGCAAGATTAGTCAAACAAAATTCAATCACATTTCCAACTTTACTCTTAAATCATATTCCCTCCATCCGAAAATAAATGTGACATTTTACTTGGCTCGTTGTTTAATGAGACAGTATGACATCTGAAGTGGTCCTTCATAAAGAGAATGAAGGAGCTTGATGACCCAAATCAATACTAACATCTTGCAACGATCACCAATGGAGAAAAATAAGTTGGGATTGAACACTTACCTAGAAAGGAGATCTTAAAGTTATTTCTGGACAATTAAAAGGGAAATTTCCGCATCTATTTTGGGTCAGGGAAGTACAATTTATTTGAGGAATCTACAATAACCAGGAAAAAATTGAAATGAAAAGAAAAGTGGTGGCTTGCTGCAAGACAAATCTACAAATTAATGATTATTTAACACACATGGAAAAAAGAGGTGGCATGGATAATGAACTGGTTGAAGTATCAAAACTATCACCATCTTTACATACAGGTTTACATCTACCTTTGCTTTCTCGAGAGACTGTTCCTAAATCAATGTGTTTACCTTCTTTGAAGAGCTTGAGCTTTTGAAGTTTTAACAACGATCAGAGATTCTATGCCACTGTCAGGAGAGTAACTGCGCACTTTCACCAATCCAGGATCAATAACATACTTAATTCCAGGTATTGTCACAGACGTTTCAGCAATGTTAGTCGCCAGAATCACCTAACAGTAACAACACACAAAATCAACTTGAGGGAAGAAATCATGGTCAGAAAGCTTTCTAAGGGCCTTTTTGTTAAAGCTTAATGGGACCCACACCTTATTTGGTCAGCTATACATGACTGTTTGATAGTGGCTTAATGATAGAGAAAGTACTTATCCAGTAAGCTTCTAGGGGAAGCTTTATGTAGAAAGCCAAGTTTTTTCCAAACCTGCCCCTCCCAATTAAAAAGCACACTCCTTCCATCTATGGAAAAACCCTCCCCCACAAAAACTTTCTCAATCTATACCAACAAATTAATCCATACGGAAATAAGACTAAATGGAAAACCAACCAAACAACCCCTAATCCAGTATATGTAGATTTGATCATACAAAATGCAGGTGTACTACATATAGCCTTGTAATCCCTTCGTCCCAAAATAAATGTCCACAATGAAAAAGACGCAGTTTTAGAAATGTGTAATTATTACACTTTTTAATCAACAAAAGAACAAGTTCACCCTTGATTATAGAGAGAGAAACTTTCTCCATCTCATAATTAATGGAGAAGTAGACATTTACTTTTGAAACTGGACATTTATTTTAGAACAAACTTAAATTGTAATGTAGACACTTATTTTGTGACAGAGGGATTAATTTTTAATTATTATCATGCAAATCCGTTACCCTCTAAAGTTTCTAATAAGAAACCTACCTTTCTGAATTCAACTGGAGCAGGTGTGAAAACTTTCAGTTGCTTCTCTGATGGAAGAGAAGAAAACAGTGGCAAGATTAGGAGTTTCTGACAGGCTTCAGGTAATTTCTTAAGATTCTCACGCACAAGACCCTCGATAGATTCAATCTCTTCTTGACCAGACAAGAATACAAGTATATCACCTGGTCCTTCCTCCAAATGTATCTAACAAGACAATAAAGTTGTTAAGAGCAAATAAAATAGCATCAACAGAAAATTGAAAAAATAGTAGACCCTAATAGTCTTACATTATCTTAAAATTGGAACTGTTTGATAAAAGGGAAACTTGAGTTAATCTTTTATTCCCTCCATCTCATAAAGACTGCAATCACATTTTGACACACAACTTTAAGATCTTCCCCATTCATCTAATTAAAGTTTTTCACCCTTCCCTTTTTTAAAATGATGTTTGAAAAATAGAGCATGTAATCTAAAAAAATCAACACAAATACTTAATTATATGGAGATAAGGGATCTTTGAAATGTCTAGTAAAACCTGCACTTCCCATTGGATGGAGTAAGGAGTTCATTAAGAAATAGTTAGTGAAAAAAAAAAGACCGAATTGCTGTATCTAAAAAGAAACCATCGGGACAGAATAGATGGAAAAGGAAGTGGGAAAAGGGGGACTCATAAACTAATAACAATCATAACAGTACAGAATCTATATGTACAAACAAATAAATATGCAAAGTTACATAAGATACAAAACAACATCCTGAATGGTATTTTGGAAGGCAGATAGAAGTCAAGCAAGAACCTGAAATATGCTAACCAAAGCTGCATCCAAACAATCCGTCTCAGGTTGAGCAGTGTACAGAATATCCACAGGAAATTGTCGCCCCTGAACATGGACAGCTTTTGCACCACCAAAATACTCGGAGAACCCTCGTGCATCCAAACTAGCAGACATGATGATTAACTTCAATGGATTTAATCTTCTGCCTAGATGTGGAGCTTGACCATTATTTTCTTCCTTCATCAGTGTACCATTATTGGCCTTCACATGATCATTATTAGAACTCTGAGATCTCTTCTTTTGTACACCTTTCAGCAAACCTAGCAACACATCAGTCTGGACGGTCCTTTCATGAGCTTCATCAACAATAATGACAGAGTACCTTGAGAGGTAGGGGTCCAAAAGCGCTTCCCTGTGAGCATATGCAGCCTTTCTCAGCATAAATTTAGCAATGACCAGTAACAACTGGTGTGGTTCTAAAAACTCGAAGTGACTATATGTGTGAGTAACATCATAACCATACACAAGCATTCAGCAACCAATGTTGTCTTACTTGTAGTTATTCATCCAAAGATGGAATATACATTGAAGTATCATATGATCTTATATTATCCTCGTTATTCTAGTGGATTCATTTCATACTTGCAGCATAATTTATTCAAATTCACTAAGCAAATAAAATTCTGACATATGATTCTAATAACTTTGGCTTTATAGTGTACAGAAATGCAGCAAGTTGTGCAGACGTTTATGTTAACCTCAACAGCAGTCCGTCCGTCATGTACTTAATCCTTGTCGAGATGGACGTCATATCCTCAAACCTGATGGAGTACCCAACTTTTTGGCCCAACTCAACACCACACTCTTCAGCTACACGTTTTGCAACAGTCACTGCAGCAACACGTCTTGGTTGAGTGATTCCAATAGTTCCTCCATCACGGCAAAACCCTCCATTATACAAATACTGGGGTAACTCTGTCAGAATAAAATTCACACAAGGGAATTTTAGTTTAACTCCCCAAAATTTCTAAAACAATAAATCGGGTGCCGTTACTTTAAAATTAAAACTACCAAGTCTTGAATATGAACTTGAAAGTTAACTTTATTTATAACATATCTTATAATTACATCAAAGATGAAATACTAGCGGAAACGTAACTCAATAGCTTATAAGACAATATAACTTGCTATTGATTAGTAAAATACTACTTCATGCAAATCTTCTTCACTCCTTTCCTGATATACATACATGAGATATATAAGCTAAAAAGCTTAGTGAGTAGTTATGGTTTATGAATAAACAATTTTTATGATGCTTAACATTTTGTGAATAGTAAGTAATTCACTAAAACTCTTGATCATGCACAAAATAATCTTTTTATCATGCATAAACATTCTTTTGAAATCTCACGTGAAACATGTAAGTATGCCATACTTGCCTTGAGGTTTGCTAACCCCCAGGTCCATAAAAGGTTGCGCCATAAGCACCGTTTGCAAGTCATCCCTTCTTGTAATATCCCATACGTTGAATATTCATGGTCATACATAACATGTAAAACTTTCATGCCTTGTGTAACACATACTTGTATCATAACAACTAACAAGTAAACATTTTCATGCCTTGGTGTAAAACACATACTTGTATCAAAACATGTCATCATGCATATCTTGTATAACATTTTCATGCAAAGCAAACATGCCAAAATATCTTGTAATGCATAAATTACTTTTATGTAGCATGTAGGTACCTCATAAATCTCATAAGTACTCACCTTGATTATGCCTAACTTTTCCTTAATTCCTTTCTTCAAGCTTGATTAGTATAAAGAGAGAGATTTCTTATTTTTGTATGGAACTAATGGTAACACTTCAACCACTATTTATAGGTGATTCATTGCATCAACAACTTGTTTTTTTTGCTCTCAAACATGTACTCTTATGAGAGTTTTACACCTCCTACTTAAGGATAAGAGAATCTTGACACCTCATGCTTCTAGGAAGAGAATCTTGACATCTCATGCTTCTAGTATTTCTTTATCATGCTTCTTAGACTTGCCTTGTAATCAAATAATCTTGCCAACTCATGCTTTTAGCCTTTACAACTCACTACTAGCTTACTTAGTCATGCTTACTAGTCTTGCTTAATCATCACATAGCTTACCAACACACTTCTAGCTTTTACATCTCATCCCCTTAGGCTTGATTTCTCAAGCTTTTCCTTGTAAGCTACTTGCCTTATAAATGTGATAGATTAATAAATGCTACAGCAGTTGGCACCTCTTTAGAGTACTTAAATTACTCATAATATTTGTATTTAAGGCATAAAAACATTATAATTTAACAAATATGAAACTAGGGCGTTACAGTTAGAGCATAAGAACTGGTTGTAGAAGTACCGAAAAAGAACCTGACAATTGGCACCATATCCAGTATTGAGCAAAAGAAACCCAACACAAAAGAGAATTTCCTGGTACTTTGGTTAGATATAGGTCCTTGAGCAAAAGTTGCAAGCATTTAAAGGCCAAAACCAGATTCAGCATGCAACCTCAACATATCAGAACATATATGAAATGCGAATGGAGCAAAAAAGAAAATCATATATGGGTCAAAGCATACGAACTAAAATAGCTAAAATTAAAGGTGATAAGGACATATGAATAAACTTGCATTCAAACTTGATGCAAGTAATAAGCTAATAATCACACAAGAAAAACTACAGAGCAGTCGGCTTCCTTTCACACTGTGTACAAAATTTTCATCTCTACTTGACCCTTGATTTCCTATCTTTGTTTAAATATGTGCAGACCCAAGAAGGTGATAGAAAATTTTAATACCAATCAATGATATTGGTAGAGTGGAAATCACAAGGTTACTCACATCACAAAGCTTACAGGTCAGTCTAGCCATTCTATTCCCTCCAGTTTCGCAGCAATTGGTGACAGGCATATTACCTTTTTCCAAATAGGTATCTTCACACATAACCAGGTATCGCAGGGACAGGGGCCTTTGCCTAATCATGCATATGTCCAAGTGCGCATGTTTAATTGAGTTAAATAAAGTACTTTAAAGTAAAGCATGAGGCACCAGAATTTTAGCCATTACCCAATGCCCACATTCTATTAGATAAACGAAGATACCTCGACCACGTTATAGTGTAGACCAGGATGCACAGATTGTTACTAAAGAAACTGAACTGAATCATATACCATGGTGTCCGCAGCCCCTGTCATCAGGGCACTGACAGAAATGACAGATCGAGTTCCTTATCATAATCATATTAAAGTAACTTCAATGAGCTCTGATCAAAATGGCAAGCACAAAATTATCTGCCTTCTAGCAGCAGTTTAAAACCTTGAGGTGATCCATATTGAAATGATTTATGATATCTAAACAAGGAACATTCAACGTATTTGAAATGCCTTCAGTCATAACTTCTATTTCAACTAAATGAGGGGGTGTTTGGTTCGGGGGTATTAGAGGGTAAGGAATGAGAATATAAATGAATAATGGTGCTTGGTTCAATATAATGCAATGGATGATTACTTAAAAGTGGGTAATTGTCTATACCTTAGTAAATTGGGGGGATGACTTTCCATTCCCCAATATTATCATTCCTTGTTATTCCCATTTCCATTCCCCCCAAACAAACCAAAATCCCCCTCAATATTGATTTGCTCTTGTATGTTCCTTTCATTCTTTAACTTCTATTTCAACTAAATTCTTTGTTGATTTGCTCTTTATGTTTCCTTTTCATTCTTATATGCAATATCTTTTTATATTTTGTGGTTAATGACTTCACTAATATTTGATCTATTAATCATGTCATAGGTATGTAGTGTATCGAGTCCCACTGTTTCAACCCAACTATTTATAATGGCAACCACTTAGCAGTTACCATGTTCAGACAAGAAGTCCCCCTGATATGAAAATCTCCTCAAGTCATCACTTACCAGCTATCGAGAATCCTGATTCCCGAGTACCAGGCCAGGCTGCTAAAGTAGTGATAAATCYTGTTAATAAAACGGGTCCTATAGACAGTCCATCTATTCCTAATCTCCAACGGAAATCAAAAAATTGACCGTGTTCATATCCTAGATCCAGATATGAGGTCGAGGCAATTATTAATAGATATACCAGTTGGACTATAAACAACAATTATAATCTTCTTGTTGCAATTATCCCAGCCAAATCCAAGCTTGTTGAACTGTAAGGTTTCACATATGAAAAAGGCTTGAAATCATGATGGTGGAACCTTAGGGTTATCATGAGCTCATTAAGAGTAGAATCAACAAGAGATTGAGTGCTGATCCAAGCAGTTTGAATACCAACTCAAAACCAGTGTAACTGACAGAGAGAAATGCATTAACTCTCCGATATTTGATGTACGAATAGAAACTCATATCATTTTAAGTGATGCAAGTGAACCAAACATTTGAGGCGTGTTTTTCCCATATTTCTTAATCTTAACAAGGAAGAGATACATTAAACATAGGAATTACATGTCTGCATCGGTGGAACACATAATCAAGAATACTAATTCAACTTTAAATATACTGATTTATAAGTCAAGCTAAACTGAAGAATGAAGATTAAAGATTCTGAAAACTCACGTGTTGTCTTCCCGCTTCCCGTCTCACCAACAATTATCAAAATATCATTTTTCCGGACCTCCTCCACAAGTCTTTTCTCAACTGAACAAATTAACAATGAATCAGTAAGAGAACCCTTAAACATGCATAAGAACCAAAAAGAACAAAAGGTGCCTTTAAGATAATTCCAGCTGATTTCATAACAGTTATACCCCGGTATGATTTGATTTTGGATGTCAAATGGATCAGTTGTCAATATCAAATAGGAAACTTAAACTGCTCCAGGTGGGGATTGCTAATTTCGTTGCGAACTACAGTAGAAAATACAGTACATGTTGAAAGTGAGGCAAGTGGCAGTAACAGGTGTACCTGAAGCAATGGGCAAAGATCTTCTCTGTTGCTCAATCTTCTGTCTCCTGAAAGAATATTAGTTAAGTAATTGGAATGCGGTAATTAACAAAGATATATGTATATATAATGTATTTAAATTGGACCTGTCGGACTTGTGACTGCCATTAACGAGCTTAGGTCTAATTTGAGGATGATTGATATTGCTGTTGTTGTTAGCGTCTCCCGTAGCCATGGAAGGCATCTCCCACGAGAGAGAAGGACCGGATTAAAGAAAAAGAAAGTATAACCAAAACCCTAACACGTCCGCCTGATTTAGCACCGGAGGCCAAGCCTAGGGTTTCGTTACACAGTACACACGGTGTTACATCAGATTATTTTATCAATAATCTGATGACTGGGAGCGGCATTACCTGAATGCTTCTGCAGTTACATATGAAGAAAATGATGAATCTTTGGTTTGTTTTGGTGAACGTTTGTTGAATGGTTTGGTAGAATGATTAAAAGGTTTTTATGATACATTGTAAAATGAAATATAATTATTTGGTAATTATTTATAAATACTTAATAGTTAAAAGAGACTTATGATACAAAATCATTCAGAAGATTTTGGAATCATTAAGAGGCAGTTTTTTTTTTTGTCAAACAAGATTCATTTTTTTAATATTTCAGATGTTGCTTCTTAATAGAAACAATAATTTATTAAAAAATAATATCTTTTTTATTTTATTTATTTGATATTTAAAATAATTCAATTTAATTTTACCGGAAGGATACTAGTACAACGTAGAAAGATATATTTTTATTTTAATATTTCGTTTATTTTTTGTCTCTGTTGATATATAATATGGTTTATGTGGTTTTGATGAAGATGATATTTTTACTTTTGAATAAAAATAAATTTGAAAAAACATATAGATACTAATATCAAATTAAGTTCTTTTTTTTTTTTATAATTTCTTATTATAACTTAATTTATGTCTAATAACGAAATAATTTATTTTTGGCTTAACATATAATTTTTATAAAGATAATAATTTTGTTAAAACTCAATTATTATTCTAATTATTACTTTAATTTTTTTGTATTTAAAATAAGATGTTTATCATGTATTTGATTATGTTTATCTACAGTTAATTATATGAATGTAAAATGAAACTTTAATAAGTTGTACTTACGTATTACTTGTAATCTTAAATTTTAAGTACTTCATGCATAAAAATGATTTTTAAGAGTTTTTATCAAATGTTTTATAATATACTATAGATTATGATCAATTTAACCCTAAAAGTTGTTTTATAAAAAAAATATGTATTTAATATTTTAATATATATATCTATACTATCTTATAAAGCATTTGGCTAAAACTCTTAAAAACTCTTAAAACTCTTAAAAACAACCTCTATTACTAATAGTACAACCTATTAAAGCCATATCCCTAAACCCAAACCCATCTTATCGCCAACCTTTTAAGTAAGCATATCCCTAAACCCGATCCCATTTTATCGCATCCCTAATCTAAATCCAATCCCATTTTATCGCCATCCCTAAAACAAATTCGATTTTCAAACAGATTCTGATAGAGATTTCGATTTCTATCTTATCCCTAAACCCAATTCGACTTTCTCGCCATCCCTAATCTCCGATTGATATTTATAAGATGAGATCTGTTTGCAGTTCGAGAATTTGTATACGGTAAGGCAATGATGTTGTTCATTCTTTTCAATTTCAAACAACTTGAACCATATCCATATTGAGATCCAGGATTAGAAGAGCCGATTCACGCTGTTGAAATCAGCACTGCTTATCAAGGTATTGATTTGTTCTATCGATCTCTGCTTTATATGATTACAATGTTAGGGTTTTCTACATTCTTCTCCAGATTTGATTATCCATCACATGTTCCTGAATTGATTTCCCAGACCCCTGTTCTTATCTAACGCCTGAATCCCTGTTATTATTTGACGCCTGAATCCATTGTTAGGCTTCTCGATTAACGGTTATTCCATCCTTTTGCTCTTCCAGCAATCTTTTTGCTCTGTTATTCTTCTGTAGTTGGTGGAGAGTTTTTATCCTTGCTTTTTAGTTGTGTTTAATCCTTGATTTCCTCAGAAAAATAGTTCCCCATTCTAAGGTACTTGCTCTTTTTTATTTATCGATGTTTGTTTGTTTAATTTGTAATCTGAATCAGGTAAGAATATGATTGTAATTTTTAGGATAATGAGAAATTGGGATTGGTATAAGCAAGGTGGTCATTTGTAAATAGGGATGAGAATCTTTTAAGAATATTGAAATTTTTTGGATTCAATGGGACTACCGGAGTGTGAAGGATTAATACTTTGGAGGATTGTGGAGGATGGTTGGAGAGGATGACAGTGGAGGACATGGATATTGTTGTTAGAGCCCATCTTCATGGATGGAAGATGATATTTCTAAATGATGTTGTAGTACTTGAAAAAGATTTGGCTCATCAAGATTATAAACTTGAAGCACAAGTCTTAGCCTCATCATATAGATAACATCGCTCCTCTTATCCTCTTGCTCAAGTCCATATGACGATTCAAGCACAAGTCGAGACGACGATTCAGGCTCCAAGGCGACGATTCAGGCCCCAAGGCACGATTCAGGCGAC